ACACACACACACACACACACACACACACACACACACGGAACAGCTTCCCACACCAGCAGAATGCTTGCCAAGAAAGGGACATGAAAATGAACAGAAGAAAGTGAGCTTCAAGGCGATGTACACTAACATAGATGGGATTACAAATAAAACAAGTGAACTTGGAGAATGGGCACTAGAAGAAAACCCAGACATAATAGCACTCACAGAAACAAAGCTAACGAAAATCATAACAAACGCAGTGTTTCCACAGGGCTACTATGTAGTGAGGAAAGAGAGAGAAGGGAGAGGAGGAGGTGGTGTAGCTCTGCTACTAAGAGAAGGTTGGAGTCTCGAAGATATGGTAATTCAGAACTGTGAAGGTTTCAGTGACTACATATCAGGCACCATAGCAACTGGAGGACAGAAAATTATAATAGTAGTCATATATAACCCCCCACCGAATGACAGAAGACCCAGACAGGAATATGATAGAAACAACTTGGCCACCATCAATATAATAGAGAGAGCAGCTTCTGTGGCTAGCAGGAACGGATCCAGACTTCTAATCATGGGAGACTTCAACCATGGGAAGATAGATTGGGGGAACAGAGACCCACATGGAGGCCCAGACACATGGAGAGCTAAACTGCTGGATGTGGCAACAAGAAACTTTCTAAGTCAACACGTCAAGGGACCGACAAGAATGAGAGGAGGGGATGAACCAGCCTTGCTTGATCTGATATTTACCCTAAATGAGTCGGATATAAGGGAAGTTAAGTTGGAAGCCCCCTTGGGAATGTGTGATCATAGTGTATTGAGCTTTGAGTACCTGGTTGAGCTAGGAATTATCACCCCCAAAAAAGAACTGGGAAACAAAGGGCTGGTGTACCGAAAGGGAAACTATGAGGAGATGAATAAATTCCTATGGGATATACATTGGGACACAGAACTCGGAACCAAGTCCGTACAAGACATGATGGACTATGTCACCCAAAAATGTCAGGAGACTGTAAGCAGGTTTGTTCCAGCCCGACAGGAAAAAAGCAGAGAAGCAAAGGAAGAATCCGTGGTTTAATAGGGAATGTATGAAAGCAAAGGAGCTGAACAAAAGGGCATGGAGGAACTTCCGTAATAACAGAACACCAGAAAGTACAGAGAGATACCAGAGAACCAGGAACGAGTATGTCAGTGTGAGAAGAGCAGCTGAGAAAAGGTATGAAAATGATATAGCTAATAAAGCCAAGACCGAACCAAAACTACTACACAGTCACATCAGGAGGAAGACAACAGTGAAGGAACAGGTGATGAAACTAAGGGTGGGCGAGGACAGGTACACAGAGAATGACAAAGAGGTGTGTGAAGAACTCAACAAAAGGTTCCAGGAGGTCTTTACAATAGAACAGGGAGATGTCACGGCGCTAGAAGAGGTGGCAACAAACCAGGTGACCTTGGATAGGTTCGAAATTACAAGAGATAAGGTCAAGAAGCACCTATTGGAGTTGGATGTGAGAAAAGCTGTTGGGCCGGACGGAATCTCGCCATGGGTATTGAAAGAGTGTGCAGGAGCACTTTGCTTACCACTCTCCATAGTGTATAGTAGGTCACTGGAAACGGGGGACCTACCAGAAATATGGAAGACTGCTAATGTATATCAACATACAAAAAGGGTGACAGACAAGAGGCACTGAACTACAGGCCAGTGTCCTTAACTTGTATACCATGCAAGGTGATGGAGAAGATTGTGAGAAAAAACCTAGTAACACATCTGGAGAGAAGAGACTTCGTGACAACCCATCAACATGGGTTCAGGGAGGGTAAATCTTGCCTTACAGGGTTGATAGAATTCTACGATCAGGTGACAAAGATTAACCAAGAAAGAGAAGGGTGGGCAGACTGCATTTTTTTGGACTGTCGGAAAGCCTTTGACACAGTACCCCATAAAAGGTTGATGCATAGGCTGGAGAAACAGGCAGGAGTAACTGGTAGGGCGCTCCAGTGGATAAGGGAGTACCTAAGCAATAGGAAGCAGAGAGTTACAGTGAGGGGTGAGACCTCAGACTGGCGTGAAGTCACCAGTGGAGTCCCACAGGGCTCTGTACTTGGATCTATCCTGTTTCTGATATATGTAAATGATCTCCCAGAGGGTATAGAGTCTAGCATATTTAATATTGATACCAATATTCTTACCAGTAAGTGTTCTCAATGGTTTTAGTCTTTCTTTTAACCTACGGTGTAGATCATTTACAATATCACTGTTAATACCAACTCCTAGGTATTTGTGCTGCCTACACGTTTCAATGTTCTGATTGTTGACCTTGAAAGCTATAGGGACATGAGTTTTCTCTTGGGGATGGAGAACTCTGGATTTAGTAATAGAGATAACAAGACCACATTCAATGCTTTTAGCAGCGAATGAATCAAGTAGAGCTTGCAGTCTAGTTTGGGAATTTGCAACAATTCATATCATCGGCATAACAAATGACGGCTTCGTCAGGTAGTGTAGGAATATCAATTGTTAATTTATGCATCAGAACATTGAACAGTGTGGGACTTAGCACTCCACCCTGGGGTGTACCTAACTCAAAGGGTGCACAAAGTTTACTTTTTTTTTTTTTATTAAGATATGAGGTACATCTGCATTAGTGCAGCTACCCTAGACTATATGAAGTGGAGTACAGTGTCAAAAAAGCTAACTAGGTGATGCTAAAAAATCCCCATCACACAGGATGGTTAGTCATACAGAGGCATGTGATGGGCAGTCTGCACTGGCAGACTCCGGATGCATTTTGAGGATATCAACAACACAAGATTGAATAAGGTAGCAGTGGTAATACAAGTCCCCATCTCGCAGGATGGTTAGTCATACAGAGCCATGTGTTTAGTAGCCGGCACTGGCAAATTTTGAGTATACTGTGAGGATATCTTCCAGAATACGAGAGTGAATAAAGTAATTGCAAAGCTCCAGGTACCTCATGCCAACTGGTCTGAAAGGTCTAATAACTGGGCATTCAGTGATGTAGTGCGGGAGATCATGCCGTAGTTCCTGCTCACAGAGTTTGCAACTGGAGTGCTCAGGATTGGGAGACCCGTCACCTGCAGCCACCTGCCACAGGTAACGGTAACCCAACCTGATGCTGGCAACCACTGTGTCGCACAGTCTAGTGGACGTTTTGTGCTGTCCATAGATGTAGGTTTCAGATCTGAACAAATCATAGCTTTTTATACTAGTACTTTCAGGTCGTTGGGAGTCAGTAAGTTCTTTCCTATCAGATCTGAATGTTTGGACCAATACAGTTTTGACAGCAGAGATGGGGATACCTAGATCTAATTCAACTTCAAACTTGTTACACACTAATTTGGCTGCAATGTCTGTCTCATTATGATGGGTTATATTTATGTGTGAAGGTATCCATACAAAGGAGATTAGAGACCCTTTACTCTGTGCATCAATTAGGTCATTTATAATTGGGAGTATGAGGTTCTTGCTGTCGATCTTCCAAGAGAAGTTTTCGATTACTTGAAGAGCAGACTTTGAATCGCAGAATATTATTCCTCCTCCAATATTTTTTAATGTGCTGGTTGCTAAATGTAATGCTGCTAGTTCTGCTTGTGTGGAGGTCAGCCAGTTGTTTAACCTGACACTGACAGTCTTTGTGCAAATATTATTTCTATAAAACCTACATGCCGCTGCAGTCCGTCCAGTAGAAGACTGGACTGAGCCGTCGGTGTAGACACAGTGCTCGTGAGATCTTAGACTCTCGATGGAGGAGGCAATTGTTTCAAGAGTGACAGCTTCTAGTAGAGCAAGATTCTCATTATCTTTCTTGGTGACAGGTGTGTATGATACTTGAATGGTGGGGTACAGATAAAGAGGAATATCAGAGACTGGTAGATTGCACTTAAAAGGAATGTTAAGTTTAATGAGATTGTAAGCATTGTTTCTCAGCCAATTATCATAAAAGGAGTGAGTTGGTATGTCGGCACCAGTCAATAGGGTGTTAACAGCACTAAATAATTTGTCTCTGAGCAATGCAGGAGATGTAGGATCTCTCATGACTTTAAGGCAAAAGGTAGTGTTAACTTGCATTATTCTCTCTAGTATGGTTGGAAGCTTCAGTTCTTCCCTCATGTTGATGATTCTTGTGCATCTTGGGGCACCAAGAATTATCCTCATGGCCTCATTCTGTACTACTTCAAGTTTGTCCAACACAGAGGAGGGGAAGTTAATTAAGTGCAGAGCATGATAATCAACTGAGATCTAACAAACATCATATAGAATAGTCTAGCATATTTAATATTGATACCAATATTCTTACCAGTAAGTGTTCTCAATGGTTTTAGTCTTTCTTTTAACCTACGGTGTAGATCATTTACAATGTCACTGTTAATACCAACTCCAAGGTATTTGTGCTGCCCACACGTTTCAATGTTCTGGCTGTTGACCTTGAAAGCTATAGGGACATGAGTTTTCTCTTTGGGATGGAGAACTCTGGATTTAGTTATAGAGATAACAAGACCACATTCAATGCTTTTAGCAGCGAATGAATCAAGTAGAGCTTGCAGTCTAGTTTGGGAATTTGCAACAATGCATATATCATCGGCATAACAAATGACGGCTTCGTCAGGTAGTGTAGGAATATCAATTGTTAATTTATGCATCAGAACATTGAACAGTGTGGGACTTAGCACTCCACCCTGGGGTGTACCCAACTCAAAGGGTGCACAGAGTTTACTTTTGACCCCCTTCAAAAGGACTGAGGCGGTTCTGTTACTCAGGTACCCCCTGAGCCATGTCAACAGTCTTCCCTTAACTCCAAAAGAGGCTCTAGCGGTTACTTCAGCTTAATAACTCTACGGGCCAAACAACCAGTATTTCAGACTTTTCCGTGAAAACCGCAGATATGTGTTAGTGGCACGGGGGCCAACCCCGCCTGGCCTATAACACTCAACATTATGGTGTATAAATATAAATAAACATACTGCAAATGTTGTATTTTTGCTAACATATTGTTAATGATCAGGTAGAGTGAGGAAGATGAAGAGGCAGGTGTGTGCGTGGGTGTGGTTGGTGGTGGTGGCCGCGGCCCTACACGTCACAAGCGCCGACGATGACGACGATGACGACGGGTAAATTGTCTATATTGTTCATATATTTTTGGCCAATTCAATTTCTTTCTTTATTATGCACCCCATACCCATGCCGTGGGCGGTGGCGGAAACGGTTACTGAGACCCAACTATGGGCTTCAGGAACTAACACCATCTTGAGGTTATCTTGAGATGATTTCGGGGCTTTAGTGTCCCCGCGGCCCGGTCCTCGACCAGGCCTGCACCCCCAGGAAGCAGCCCGTGACAGCTGACTAACACCCAGGTACCTATTTTACTGCTAGGTAACAGGGGCATAGGGTGAAAGAAACTTTTGCCAATTGTTTCTCGCCGGCGCCTGGGATTGAACCCAGGACCACAGGATCACAAGTCCAGCGTGCTGTCCGCTTGGCCGACCGGCTTCCCCCATGAACCATAGTTCATTTAGCTAAACAAGTGACAATCTTTTGAAGCTAGTTACACAATTGTTCATTTTACATACACATGTACAGACATGCGAACAAGCCTGAATGGTCCCCAAAAAATGAGTTTTCAGTTGCAGATGTACAGACATGTTTATATATAATCATTTACATATCAATAATTTTTATATCACAAGTGCTTCAACAAGAGGCTCACAAGTCACTATACAAGGCACTTTACATCTATGGTGAGTCACACAGTTACTAGTCTTGCTCCACACCCACCCAACTGGGCGGCAGCTTTACAGTCATGTGCTCCACACCCACCCAACTGGGCGGCAGCTTTACAGTCATGTGCTCCACACCCACCCAACTGGGCGGCAGCTTTACAGTCATGTGCTCCACACCCACCCAACTGGGCGGCAGCTTTACTGTCATGTGCTCCACACCCACCCAACTGGGCGGCAGCTTTACAGTCATGTGATCCACACCCACCCAACTGGGCGGCAGCTTTACAGTCATGTGCTGCACACCCACCCAACTGGGCGGCAGCTTTACAGTCATGTGCTCCACCGCCACCCAACTGGGCGGCAGCTTTACAGTCATGTGCTCCACACCCACCCAACTGGGCGGCAGCTTTACAGTCATGTGCTCCACACCCACCCAACTGGGCGGCAGCTTTACAGTCATGTGATCCACACCCACCCAACTGGGCGGCAGCTTTACAGTCATGTGCTCCACACCCACCCAACTGGGCGGCAGCTTTACAGTCATGTGATCCACACCCACCCAACTGGGCGGCAGCTTTACAGTCATGTGCTCCACACCCACCCAACTGGGCGGCAGCTTTACAGTCATGTGCTCCACCGCCACCCAACTGGGCGGCAGCTTTACAGTCATGTGCTCCACACCCACCCAACTGGGCGGCAGCTTTATAGTCATGTGCTCCACACCCACCCAACTGGGCGGCAGCTTTACAGTCATGTGCTCCACACCCACCCAACTGGGCGGCAGCTTTAGTCATGTGCTCCACACCCACCCAACTGGGCGGCAGCTTTACAGTCATGTGATCCACACCCACCCAACTGGGCGGCAGCTTTACAGTCATGTGCTGCACACCCACCCAACTGGGCGGCAGCTTTACAGTCATGTGCTCCACACCCACCCAACTGGGCGGCAGCTTTACAGTCATGTGCTCCACCGCCACCCAACTGGGCGGCAGCTGTACAGTCATGTGCTCCACACCCACCCAACTGGGCGGCAGCTTTACAGTCATGTGCTCCACACCCACCCAACTGGGCGGCAGCTTTACAGTCATGTGATCCACACCCACCCAACTGGGCGGCAGCTTTACAGTCATGTGCTCCACACCCACCCAACTGGGCGGCAGCTTTACAGTCATGTGATCCACACCCACCCAACTGGGCGGCAGCTTTACAGTCATGTGCTCCACACCCACCCAACTGGGCGGCAGCTTTTCAGTCATGTGATCCACACCCACCCAACTGGGCGGCAGCTTTACAGTCATGTGCTCCACACCCACCCAACTGGGCGGCAGCTTTACAGTCATGTGCTCCACCGCCACCCAACTGGGCGGCAGCTTTACAGTCATGTGCTCCACACCCACCCAACTGGGCGGCAGCTTTACAGTCATGTGCTCCACACCCACCCAACTGGGCGGCAGCTTTACAGTCATGTGATCCACACCCACCCAACTGGGCGGCAGCTTTACAGTCATGTGCTCCACACCCACCCAACTGGGCGGCAGCTTTACAGTCATGTGATCCACACCCACCCAACTGGGCGGCAGCTTTACAGTCATGTGCTCCACACCCACCCAACTGGGCGGCAGCTTTTCAGTCATGTGATCCACACCCACCCAACTGGGCGGCAGCTTTACAGTCATGTGCTCCACACCCACCCAACTGGGCGGCAGCTTTACAGTCATGTGCTCCACACCCACCCAACTGGGCGGCAGCTTTACAGTCATGTGCTCCACACCCATCCAACTGGGCGGCAGCTTTACAGTCATGTGCTCCACACCCACCCAACTGGGCGGCAGCTTTACAGTCATGTGCTCTACACCCACCCAACTGGGCGGCAGCTTTACAGTCATGTGCTCCACACCCACCCAACTGGGCGGCAGCTTTACAGTCATGTGCTCCACACCCACCCAACTGGGCGGCAGCTTTACAGTCATGTGCTCCACACCCACCCAACTGGGCGGCAGCTTTACAGTCATGTGATCCACACCCACCCAATTGGGCGGCAGCTTTACAGTCATGTGCTGCACACCCACCCAACTGGGCGGCAGCTTTACAGTCATGTGCTCCACACCCACCCAACTGGGCGGCAGCTTTACAGTCATGTGCTCCACCGCCACCCAACTGGGCGGCAGCTTTACAGTCATGTGCTCCACACCCACCCAACTGGGCGGCAGCTTTACAGTCATGTGCTCCACACCCACCCAACTGGGCGGCAGCTTTACAGTCATATGCTCCACACCCACCCAACTGGGCGGCAGCTTTACAGTCATGTGATCCACACCCACCCAACTGGGCGGCAGCTTTACAGTCATGTGCTCCACACCCACCCAACTGGGCGGCAGCTTTACAGTCATGTGATCCACACCCACCCAACTGGGCGGCAGCTTTACAGTCATGTGCTCCACACCCACCCAACTGGGCGGCAGCTTTTCAGTCATGTGATCCACACCCACCCAACTGGGCGGCAGCTTTACAGTCATGTGCTCCACACCCACCCAACTGGGCGGCAGCTTTACAGTCATGTGCTCCACACCCACCCAACTGGGCGGCAGCTTTACAGTCATGTGCTCCACACCCACCCAACTGGGCGGCAGCTTTACAGTCATGTGCTCCACACCCACCCAACTGGGCGGCAGCTTTACAGTCATGTGCTCTACACCCACCCAACTGGGCGGCAGCTTTACAGTCATGTGCTCCACACCCACCCAACTGGGCGGCAGCTTTACAGTCATGTGCTCTACACCCACCCAACTGGGCGGAAGCTTTACAGTCATGTGATCCACACCCACCCAACTGGGCGGCAGCTTTACAGTCATGTGCTCCACACCCACCCAACTGGACGGCAGCTTTACAGTCATATGCTCCACACCCACCCAACTGGGCGGCAGCTTTACAGTCATGTGCTCCACACCCACCCAACTGGGCGGCAGCTTTACAGTCATGTGCTCCACCCCCACCCAACTGGGCGGTAGCTTTACTGTCATGTGCTCCACACCCACCCAACTGGGCGGCAGCTTTACTGTCATGTGCTCCACACCCACCCAACTGGGCGGCAGCTTTACAGTCATGTGCTCCACACCCACCCAACTGGGCGGCAGCTTTACAGTCATGTGCTCCACACCCACCCAACTGGGCGGCAGCTTTACTGTCATGTGCTCCACACCCACCCAACTGCGCGGCAGCTTTACTGTCATGTGCTCCACACCCACCCAACTGGGCGGCAGCTTTACAGTCATGTGCTCCACACCCACCCAACTGGGCGGCAGCTTTACTGTCATGTGCTCCACACCCACCCAACTGGGCGGCAGCTTTACTGTCATGTGCTCCACACCCACCCAACTGGGCGGCAGCTTTACAGTCATGTGCTCCACACCCACCCAACTGGGCGGCAGCTTTACAGTCATGTGCTCCACACCCACCCAACTGGGCGGCAGCTTTACAGTCATGTGCTGCACACCCACCCAACTGGGCGGCAGCTTTACAGTCATGTGCTCCACACCCACCCAACTGGGCGGCAGCTTTACAGTCATGTGCTCCACACCCACCCAACTGGGCGGCAGCTTTACAGTCATGTGCTCCACACCCACCCAACTGGGCGGCAGCTTTACAGTCATGTGCTGCACACCCACCCAACTGGGCGGCAGCTTTACAGTCATGTGCTCCACACCCACCCAACTGGGCGGCAGCTTTACTGTCCGTGTACACATTGTTGTGGTTCTCTTACAGTATGTACTCACCTAGTTGTGCTTGCGGGGGTTGAGCTCTGGCTCTTTGGTCCCGCCTCTCAACTGTCAATCAACAGGTGTACAGGTTCCTGAGCCTATTGGGCTCTATCATATCTACACTTGACACTGTGTATGGAGTCAGCCTCCCACCACATCACTGCCTAATGTATTCCATTTGCTAACTATTCTGACACTTAAAAAGTTCTTTCTAATGTCTCTGTGGCACATCTGGGTACTCAGCCTCCACCTGTGTCTCCTTGTTCGTGCCCCACCCGTGTTAAATAATCCATCCTTGTCTACCTATCAATTCCCGTGAGAATTTTGTATATGGTGATCATGCTTCTCTGAACTCTTCTGTCTTCCAGCGACGTGAGGAGCAGTTCACGTAGCCTGCACATATTCGTGTGGTTACAGTTCCCTAACAATATATGTATATAGTGTTGTATATAGTCACTCCGCCTAACAGTGGGCGCATATATTGTTGTGGATGTGAATATCTCAGTGTTAGCCGGAGACATCCACAAGAAAGTGTGTACAAGTGGGCGTTGAAAAATGTCAAGTAGTTTTGCTTGTTTCGAAATGTCTTTTGTTAAGGTTTCTGTGAGCAAATTATAAACCGCTGTGTGTTTATTCTTTTGTGAAGTCTGGAGTAGGAGAACGCACTCACTGTGAAGTCTGGAGTAGGAGAACGCACTCACTGTGAAGCCTAGAGTAGGAGAACGCACTCACTGTGAAGTCTGGAGTAGGAGAACGCACTCACTGTGAAGTCTGGAGTAGGAGAACGCACTCACTGTGAAGCCTAGAGTAGGAGAACGCACTCACTGTGAAGTCTAGAGTAGGAGAACGCACTCACTGTGAAGTCTGGAGTAGGAGAACGCACTCACTGTGAAGCCTAGAGTAGGAGAACGCACTCACTGTGAAGTCTAGAGTAGGAGAACGCACTCACTGTGAAGCCTAGAGTAGGAGAACACACTCACTGTGAAGCCTAGAGTAGAACGCACTCACTGTGAAGCCTAGAGTAGGAGAACGCACTCACTGTGAAGCCTAGAGTAGGAGAACGCACTCACTGTGAAGTCTGGAGTAGGAGAACGCACTCACTGTGAAGCCTAGAGTAGGAGAACGCACTCACTGTGAAGCCTAGAGTAGGAGAACGCACTCACTGTGAAGCCTAGAGTAGGAGAACGCACTCACTGTGAAGCCTAGAGTAGGAGAAGGCACTCACTGTGAAGCCTAGAGTAGGAGAACGCACTCACTGTGAAGCCTAGAGTAGGAGAACGCACTCACTGTGAAGCCTAGAGTAGGAGAACGCACTCACTGTGAAGCCTAGAGTAGGAGAACGCACTCACTGTGAAGTCTAGAGTAGGAGAACGCACTCACTGTGAAGCCTAGAGTAGGAGAACGCACTCACTGTGAAGCCTAGAGAAGAAGTGCCCCCCCCCCCCTTGGTACATGGTGTACAGTGTGGGTACATTATACACGTCACCTTACCTACCTTGAGGTTACCTTGAGGTGCTTCCGGGGCTTAGTGTCCCCGCGGCCCGGTCGTCGACCAGGCCTCCTGGTTGCTGGACTGATCAACCAGGCTGTTAGACGCGGCTGCTCGCAGCCTGACGTATGAGTCACAGCTTGGTTGATCAGATATCCTTTGGAGGTGCTTATCCAGTGCTCTCTTGAACACTGTGAGGGGTCGGCCAGTTATGCCCCTTATGTGTAGCGGAAGCGTATTGAACAGTCTCGGGCCTCTGATGTTGATAGTTCTCTCTTGAACACTGTGAGGGGTCGGCCAGTTATGCCCCTTATGTGTAGCGGAAGCGTGTTGAACAGTCTCGGGCCTCTGATGTTGATAGTTCTCTCTTGAACACTGTGAGGGGTCGGCCAGTTATGCCCCTTATGTGTAGTGGAAGCGTATTGAACAGTCTCGGGCCTCTGATGTTGATAGTTCTCTCTTGAACACTGTGAGGGGTCGGCCAGTTATGCCCCTTATGTGTAGCGGAAGCGTGTTGAACAGTCTCGGGCCTCTGATGTTGATAGTTCTCTCTTGAACACTGAGGGATCGGCCAGTTATGTCCCTTATGTGTAGTGGAAGCGTGTTGAACAGTCTCGGGCCTCTGATGTTGATAGTTCTCTCTTGAACACTGAGGGATCGGCCAGTTATGTCCCTTATGTGTAGTGGAAGCGTGTTGAACAGTCTCGGGCCTCTGATGTTGATAGTTCTCTCTTAGAGTACCTGTTGCACCTCTGCTTTTCAACGGGGATATTCTGCACATCCTGCCATGTCTTCGGGTCTCATGTGATGTTATTTCTGTGTGCAGGTTTGGGACCAGCCCCTCAATTATTTTCCACGTCCCTGACACATGGTCTAGTGTGGGTTATACATTATACACGCCCCTGGTACATAGTGTACAGTGTGGGTTATACATTATACACGCCCCTGGTACATAGTGTACAGTGTGGGTTATACATTATACACGCCCCTGGTACATGGTGTACAGTGTGGGTTATACATTATACACGCCCCTGGTACATGGTGTACAGTGTGGGTTATACATTATACACGCCCCTGGTACATGGTGTACAGTGTGGGTTATACATTATACACGACCCTGGTACATGGTGTACAGTGTGGGTTATACATTATACACGCCCCTGGTACATAGTGTACAGTGTGGGTTATACATTATACACGCCCCTGGAACATAGTGTACAGTGTGGGTTATACATTATACACGCCCCTGGTACATAGTGTACAGTGTGGGTTATACATTATACACGACCCTGGTACTGACGTTCCATCTTGGAGTTTGGAAACAAAAACATCTCTAAACATAATTAACTTTTATAATCACCATAAACAGGACTTGTTTATTTGTTGCACCTAAACGACTGAGGAACACCAATATACTTTATACATTAAGATAATATTTTTACACAGAGATGACTGTGTCTCGTGGTG